CCCTAAGGGCTAGAGGGGGGGTTGGGAGTGGGCAGAGGGGTTTTGGGGTCCCCCTAAGGGCTAGAAGGGGGTGGGCTGAGGGGGGTTGGGGTCCCCTGAGGCCTAGAGGGGGGGTTGGGAGTCGGCTGGGGTCCCCTAAGGGATAGTGGGGTTCCCTGAGGCCTAGAGGGGGGGTTGGGAGTGGGCTGGGGTCCCCTAAGGGATAGTGGGGTTCCTTAATGCCTAGAGGGGGGGTTGGGAGTGGGCTGGAGGGGGCTGGGGGATAGCGGAGGGCGGGGGGGGGGCGTACCGCCGGGAGGGGAAGGAAGCATGGGGGGGGAGTTTGGGTTCCCCTGGGAATTGGGGGCGGGGGTGATGGGAAGGTGGGCCTCATGGAGAGGGAAGGAGAAGCAGCGATCTGGTTGGTGGCCCTTGGTTCCTCCTGGCGGGGGCAGGAAGAAGGGGAGATAAGGGTTTGGGTCCCTCTGAGGGGGTGAGGGGAGGACTATGGGTCCTCCTAAGGGATGGGGTCTGGTGGGGTCCCCCTTGGGAGGAATGAGATCTGGTTAGCTGGGGGGGGGCGGGGAAGAACTGGGGTTAGCTCAGGGGGCCGCTTGTGGGGGCAGAGTGGGGAGGGGATGAGGAAGGTGGGGGTCTTGGGTCTCCTTAGAATGGGGTGCAGAGGGGAGGGGTTCTCAATGGCTTATGCCTTGTCCTGGAGGAAATTAAAGGAGGTGAGGGGGACTGTGGGTTGCCCTAGAGTGAGGAGGATTTGGGGGAGGGGTCCCCTTAGCAGGTTGGGGGATTGGAGGTGATCTCTGGTTTTCCCCATAGGATGGAGGGGTTTCGGGGTGTGGGATCCCCCTAGAGAATGGGATGGGAGGAAGGAGAGTTGGGGGGGGGGGATTGAGCTGGCCATCTCCTGGTGAGGGGGTGGGGGAACCCCTGTTGGGCTGTGGGAGGGGTTCCCCTGGAGAGGGCTGGCTGGGAGATCTGGAGAAGCCTCTCGGGGGGAAGAACTGGGGTTCAGGGAGTGAGGTCAGGACCATGAGGTGAAGACACATGGGGGGGGAATAGATGGGGGAGACAATTGCCTCCCTCCTCTAAGGAAGATTTCCACCTCCCCCCCCCCTAAAAATGGGTCTGGAGATCCTTCCCGTCACTGAAATTGGGGGGTGGGGGAGAGGCCTGAGTGCTGGTGGCTGGGCCCGCATTGCTTAAGAGAGACTCCCCCTCATGCTCTGGGTAGAGAGAATGGGGGTGCCTGGACCTGTATCGTGTCTTAGACCCCCCTTCTTGGGGGAGTCACTGCTCCCTTCTGTGTTGGGGTGGGGGGCTCTAGGGGGTGGAGGCCTGTTTTAAGGGTGATGATGTGTCATAGAGGAGGTGCAGAAAGGCCTCTTGAGTGAGGAGGGGGAAACTGAGGCAGTCTGGAATCTGCAGTAGGGTTTTGGGGATATAGCCTCTAGGTGGTTTGGGGGTACAATGGGGGGCTCTCTGGTGGCCTAGGTGGGTTTGTAGAGGGAGATCAATGCAGAGCTCTGCAGCACAGGGTTGGGGATGGATGAGTGGCGTTGGGTACACGGGGCGGCCGACCCAGAGGGTGAGAGCGACTGCGGGGCGCTGGGGCTCGGGCCGGATGATGCATGGGGCAGAGCTGTGGGGCAGGGAGGGCCCCGGCTCCGCATGTGGCGTGTGGGAGGGAGCTGCCGGGGCCACCGCGCTGGCCTGGTTCCTTCCCCGGCGCTCGGGGCAGGAACTTTTTTCACCAATTTCTCAGCTGCCAGAGGTGTGTTTTTTTTTTTTTTTTTTTTTCCCCTGCCTTCCCCCCCTGCCCCAGCTGCAGACGGAAGCACGTGTGTGGAGCTGCACGGCCTGGCTGTCACCCTGCGTGAGCTATGGGGAGCAGTTGTGCTAATCAGTTACGGGGGGGAAGGATGGTGGGGAAGGGAGGCGGCTGGGCCTGGACCGCTTGTTTGCCGGTAATTGAACCGAAATGGAGAAGCCCGTCCCCGCTCCCGTGCCTTTGGGAACCGTTAACCCTGGGGGTCATGGCCTCGCTCCCAGCAGCCTGCCTCAGGCTCTGGAGCGGGAGAAAGAGCCCCCCGGCCCGGTGGCTAGCGGGCCCTGTGGGGCACTTGCCTGCTCCCTAACCGGCCTCGTGGAGCTGTTTCTGGCCTGTCACCGCGCTTGGCAAGCAGGCCTGGCCTCCTCGCTCTGCTCTGGTTGAACCTAGGTCAGGGATGAGTCAGCTGGTCCCCTCCCCCACGCCTGTGGGGGGGGTGGATCCAGGCCCCTGATCCATGCCCTGACTTGCTTTCTAAGGGGGGGAGGGGAGAGGCTCTGACTGAGGGGGAGTTCAGAGCAGAGCCGGAGAACAGGTGCTGGCAGTCCCTTGAATGGAGGCGCCGGGATGCCTGGGTTCTCTGAATCAGCCCTTAATAGGTGGGTTTCCCACAGCTGGGGAGAGAACCCAGGATTCCTGGCTCCCAGCCCCCCCCCTGCTTTAACCCACCAGCCCCTACTCCCCTCCCAGAGCCGGGGAGAGAACCCAGGAGTCCTGGCTCCCAGCCCCCCCTGCTCTAACCCACCAGCCCCCACTCCCCTCCCAGAGCCGGGGAGAGAACCCAAGAGTCCAGGCTCCCAGCCCCTGTGCTCTGACAACTAGATCCCACTCCCCTCCCTAAGGAGGAAGGGCTGCGAAGCAGGACTCCTGGGTTCTTCCCCCAGCTGTGCCACTGACGTGCCATTGTGTCCTAGTAGCCCCTCCCCGGGCTGGTGCCCCTGGCTGGCTCCTGGGGCTCAGTGGGGCTCCCTGGGGGAGGGGAAATCCCCATGGCAGCAGTGGCTGCTGGAGAGATTTCCCCAGCTGCCACGTATGCTGCCCCCGGGCCCTGGTTAACAGGCACCTGGCCCGGAGGGGGGGGCTGCTGCGCGCACTGTGTGGGGGGAGTTGGGAGTCAAGTCCCTCTGTAAACCAGTGCTGCTCTGGGCTCCAGTGTGTTAGCCCCCTGCTAGCCCGGCCCTGGGCTTCCTCACCCCCTTGCTAGCCCAGCCCAGCCAGTGCCCCTCACTCCTCACCTGCAGCCCCATGCTAGCCCAGTCCTGCCCCCCTCCTCCCCCAATCCCTGCCGGTGCCCCTCACTCCCGACCCGTTTCAGACCCGGGAGCTCCAGCAGCACCTGCCTCAGAGGGCCCTGGCATTTCCGTCCTGTCCTCAGCTGCTGCCACCTCTCCCCAGAGCTGGCTGCAGCCGGGTGCCCTGGCCCCGCGTGGGGCGTCTGCGCCTGGCAGGCTCGCGGCAGAGTCGCGGTGCCAGGCCACCCTCCCCGCCCCCTCGGTATTCTCGTGTGTCTGAGATCGTGGCGGGATTGGAGAAGGGTCTGAAACCAGCTAGGCCCAGGCTGAGGGAGCGGTGGCTGGATCTTGGGCGGGCTCTAGGTTGCCCCTTGCCTGGGGGAGGCAGTGGGGGCCGATTATTGATCAAGTGTTGGACTGGGCCTCGGCGCCGCCGCCGGCCCCCCCCCCCCCCCCGTGTCTGGTTAGACTCTCCGGGACAGGGAGCATCTCTTGTTGTGGGGCGGGGCAGGACTTACTGGAGTGGGAGGCCCCAGATCTCGGGGCAGAGGGGGCTGCGTAACCCCCTGGTGTGATAGGGGGGCAGATCTTGGTGGGGAGGGGTCTGTGGAGACCCTGATGTGGTGTGGGGGACAGATATCGGGCTGGAGGGGTCTGTGTAAGCCCTGGGGTGATGGGGGGCCCAGATCTCAGGAGGAGGTGGGCCCCAGATTTGGGAGGGGAGGGATTTGTGTAGCCCTAGTGTGGTGGGGAGGGGTCTGTGGAGCCCTGGTGCAGTGGGGGAGACAGATCTCAGGGTGGAGGGGTCTGCGTAAGCCCTGGTGTGACGGGGGCGGGGGGTGTCCCTGTAAGCCATGGTGTGATGGGAAGGGGTTGGTCAGCTCTGGTGTGAGGGGGTGGGCCCCAGATTTGGGGGGAGGGGTCTGTAATCCCTGGTTTGATGGGGGAGTGGGGTGGGCCCAGATCTCCACTGGGGTCTCTGGGTGCTACTGTAACCCGCCTGGTCTCACCCCCCCGCCCCCCGGCAGTTCCTCTAGCGCCCGATCACCATGGCCGATGACCTGGACTTCGAGACCGGCGATGCCGGGGCCTCCGCCACCTTCCCCATGCAGTGCTCGGCCCTCCGCAAAAACGGGTTTGTGGTGCTCAAGGGGCGTCCCTGCAAGATCGTCGAGATGTCCACCTCCAAGACCGGCAAGCACGGCCACGCCAAGGTACGGGGCTCTGCCCGCCGTTGCCCACAGTGCCGGGAGCGGCCCCACATCTCGGGGGTGGGTGGGGCCCTCCTGGTGGGGCAGCTCCCAGGGTGACTCTGTCCCGGCTCCCCCAGGTGCACCTGGTTGGCATCGACATCTTCACCGGGAAGAAATACGAAGATATCTGCCCTTCCACCCACAACATGGACGTGCCCAACATCAAGAGAAACGACTTCCAGGTAAGGGGAGGTGCCCGCGGAACCGCACCCCTCCCCGGGGTGGGGGGCAGGTGAACCCCTTCCCTGAAGCGGCGCTAAGGGGCCCCCCCTCTTGCCTTGCAGCTGATCGGGATCCAGGATGGGTACCTGTCCCTCCTCCAGGACAGCGGGGACGTGCGGGAGGACCTGCGTCTGCCCGAGGGGGACCTGGGCAAAGAGATCGAGCAGAAATACGACTGTGGAGAAGAGATCCTGGTAAGGGGGGGTGGGGGAGCAGGGAAGGGGGCAGGGCTGGTGCCCCCCCCCCCGCGGATCAAAGGGCTGGGGAATTAACACCCCTTTGCTGCCCAGTGCGGCTCAAGCTCGGCAACGGGCTCAGGCTCTTGGCAAACTCGGGCAGCGTCACTCTGAGGGTTGAGCCGTGACCCCAGTTACAATCATCCCTGGGTCTTCCAGCAGCAGATCTCAAAGCACCTCGCGGAGGCGCTCGGCAACGCTAGCCCCCCGATGGGGGAAACCGAGGCACAGAGGGGTGGGTGGTGACTTGCCCTGAGTCACCCCACCAGCTGGGACTAGAACCCAGGGCCCTGTGTGCTCCAGTAGCATCGAGAGACTGGCCCTCCCCCCACCCCCAAAGGAAGGGAGCTGGAGGGGGGGGCGGAATCTTACCGAGTGTGACCCCCTCCTCCCCTCCCCCCAGATCACCGTGCTGTCCGCCATGACCGAGGAAGCTGCTGTTGCCATCAAAGCCATGGCTAAATAAAGGAACCACAGGTGGGTGCTGGGGGGGGGGGGGATTGGGGAGCATGGGGGGGGGGGGTGAGACCACCTCCAAACCACAAGTGGCCAGTGCCTTTCGGGCCTTGCTAGCCAAGCCTGGAGCAGCCTCTGCAGGGCCTGGTGGTTGGGGGGTGGGGTGAGGCTTAGGCAGGGGGTGGGGGTGCTGAGTGTGTGGGGGGGCGCTAGGCAGTGCCCCCCATAACTGCTCCTTCCTTTTCCAGGGCGGCGGCAGCAACTTTTACTACGAACCAGAGAGAATTGCAACCCCCCCAAAACCGGCTCCATGTGGCTCAGTCCCCCCCTTAAACCCCCTG